CTATTAGAAAGTTGTAATCTTTGTTTGTTTGTCCGATCACTACTCACGAACCGTAGACCGATTCTTCAAATTTTAATTGCAGGGGTCTACGGTAGTCACGGGATCGAACACGGGAATTTGTAATTTATAATTGAGAGGGTCGACTTTTATCGGAAAAAAGCTAAAATCGTAATTTACGACCAAGTGTGGGTAAACGGTGGGAGCTATCTATATCTATATATGTGTAGTTGCAGTCATTTGTTTGTCCGATCATAAATCAGGAACCCCTGGACCGTTTTGTCTCAAATTTTGATAGGGGAAATCGTGCCCAATTACCCGACAATCGACGTTCAACATGTCAAATTTGTGCTAAGATGACCTATAATATAATGGTTGGCTACTAGCACGCCGGTCAGAATGCTTCCAATGTCTATTTTGACTTCGGAAAGGAATTTCTTGTCCCAATGTTGCTGTAGTTTGATGTATCTCGTGCTACTTTTATTCTAACTTAGGACAAACTTAGCACAGAAGTATTCAAAGATATTTTCTTTTAAGGCTTTGGAGCTGAATTTTTTGTTTTAAGAGTGTCGGGATAAATTTGCAAGGACAATTAATATAGTTAAGATTTATTTACAGTAAAAAAGAAGTATTTTTCACAAAAAGAGCGCGCGCGCGCACTTTTGCTAAGATTCGTTCAAAAATTTAAAAAAATGCATGAAGTATACATAATTTTAAATTTGCATGCAATAAATCAGCTCCATAGACAATACTAAGTTATGTTTAAATTTCCCGGAGAGTAATACGTTTCTTTCTCCCCCCCCCCCTTGAAGTCAAATAGAATCTCGAATGCCAAAGCTTGCAGAGTTTCCAGACAAATTAGCTTCTAAGTAGAAATTCAAAATAAGCAAATTTTCAGAATTATGCAAAATTCATTTGAGCTGAGAGATTCACAATTTATAGATGATAATCTAAATTTAGTTAACTAACTAGTTTCCACGAAACTGTAGATACTCTTGTGCAACAGTTTCGTATTTTTTGCACGAAATGGAATTTTTTTTACAATGTGGTGCATAAAAATGTTTTGAGCAAACGCTAGAAGATGCTAAAAGAGGTTCGTTTCAGTCTTACTGATGACATCTTCGTATTAATCGAATTAATCTATAGATATGTATTATATTTCTCTTGTTTGTCTGTCTGCTTTTGGAGTTGGCAAAACTGCAGTTTGCCAACTCCAAAAAAGGGGTCTAAGTCCATTTTTTAGAATTTAGGGAGAAGCCCCCCAACACCAACAGAAATGGGGGGGGGGGCGAAGTCCCCCAAAAAAATGTTGGCCTAAAACAGGGGCGGACACAGGGGGGTGGCGGGGGGACATTCGCCACCCCCTGACAGATTCAGGGAGGGGCGTAGCCCCCCCCCCTGAGATTTTGAGGCAAAAAATGTTCCCAATTTGATAAATCGTATGTGTTTTTCAATTTTAAGCTATTTGATTATTTTTTATATAATGGAAATATAATAATTAATATTTATTGAAAAATTGAATCATCAGAAGAGAAGGACGAAAAAAATATTTTTCTAGCTTGTTAAAAATAAATATAATTTTATAACCAACGATGTAAGTATACGACGACAGACAGAATCTTGTTCCTATCCGACAACAATTGTGTTTTGTTTTATTCGTACGCGGCACACTTCACATCTTGAGTCTTTTCTTCAGTTTAATTTAAAAATCAACGACAACAAGTAAATGTTATTGTTAACGATAAATTTAGAATTAGAACTTCGTTAGAAACTAGTAATTCCTTTTTGTTCTTAAATTGCTAATGTTTCTATTCCTAGTTGCGCCTCTGATCCCCCAGACAAAAAGACGAACAGTATAATTCCCCCGTCCTGACTGAAGTGTACATAGTTACACCCCTGCATGGCGAGCATGGCCTTAAGGCCCCGAGGAGAGTGGAGCGGGGAGTTTTAAATATCATGCATCTAGCCATGATTTGTTCACATACTATACCATGATTTATTTTAATCCACTGCTACCCCCATCCTAAAAAAAATAAAAAACGTAATTTGCTGTAAAATATATGTTAAATAATATTAATAAAAATTAATATTGTGAGAAAGTTTAGCCCTGAATTGTACTTATTACTTTCCCCTTGCTTTCTCCACTCCAGTCAGAAAAGAAAGCAAATGCCGGTTTCTGATTTTGTTAATGTATCAGCTTGCGGTTTTATACTTACCAATAACTTTAGAATTCGGAGTATATCTAGTGAATTCAGTAACGGGGTTTTGTATATGATTTTATAATTACATTTGCTTCTTTCATTAATCTGCTATCTTCTGTTATAGCTTTGCAAAATAGCTAGTCACAATGGACTAGCTAGTTATCGAAAAGTATATATTATATATTACATAAATTATATTTTTTTATTTCATATATAGCTTTCAAATGTATTTAACTTTTTGATCTTGTGTCGTTTAAGTGCCAATCTTATTTCGTGTCATTACAAATCCTAAAAAGTCTGGTCTACGACGTTCCGCAAGTACTTGGACTTTCAGCTTTAAGTATTGTTGAAGATTTGTTAGTGGAGTTAGTAAACTATAAGACCCCAGCTCTCTCAGTTAGTTCAGAGCAACTAAGTAGCGAAACAAGTTTTTTCTCTGTAACATTATATTCAAGCTAAAATTACTAATCTTCAGAATTTTACAAAATTTTCTATTTCAAGATCTTAACATATGCTTAAATTACTAAAAAAGTTATTAAGTTTGGGACAGGGATTTTTTCTTCTCATTTTTTCAAATTTATCTTAAAATAAGGGCATAATTGTAATATTTACAACCATCAATTATACATGTATGTTGTCATAGCCGACGAAACGACTGGATCGATTGGACTGAAATTTTTTGTGGACACTATAATGGGTGCCGGGGGGGGGGGGGGGTGTTATAGGCTAAAAAATGTCGAAATGTTTTTTCAAAACATTTTGTTTTTAATTTTTTAACGGGCAACGCTGGTCCCTTCAGCTAGTAATATTTAATAAAATGGGAGATATGTTAATAGAAAATTTCCTAATTTAGTTCTTTCTCCATTTATTTTAGGTGATTGCATTTCAAATTCCTAGGGGACTAGGTCAGATGGGGGACCAATTATAAGGAGGTATAAGCGGGGCACTGCATTCTGCGAATTCTGCACCTTTGTTGTTTCCAGTATCCATGGCCCAATTGAGCCTAATTTTAAATATTTAACCCAAATAGCTAATTTATTGCTACTTTTGATTCAAATATATTCCAGCATAAATATCTGAATAGAAAATTAGCCTCCAACTACATTCAATTTCCATTAAAATTTTGAAAATCCATGAATTTTTTTTACAAATATTATTACAAACTTTTTTCGTTGTATAAAACAAAAAGAAAATGTTCTCAATTGAAATAGAAGCGCCCTGAAAGCTAGTAAACTATAATATTCATTTGTATAGAATTCATGATTTGTTCCAGTTTCTACCCTAGGGAATAGGTTCAGACATGAGGTCTGGGAAAAATTCTCAAACTCATGAAGTCATTTCATTCTTACTTTATCCAAACAATGCCTGGCTGTTTTTCTTTACCAATTAAGATCAACAATTTTCATTCGGCCTACAATTTCCTTATGCCCAAAGCAATTTCATTCAGGTCTAGTTTTGGGCCTAAGATCCGGGCGGTTGGCAACACCATGCCTAACTCTCTCGGCTGGAACAACCTGTCATAAATTTGCCCTGCGTGATTAATTCATTCATATCCTGAAGTTGTTTCTAAAAATTTAACGAAATAGCTCGAAATACCGAAATAGCTTGAAATACCCAAATAGGCCGAAATAACAAAATAGCAGGAAACAACGAAATACGCAAAACCAAGATTTTCTTTAGAATTTGCATGAAATAGCTTTTGCGCATCATTGCGAAATTATGTCGAAATTTTTGTGCAATTTTTATTCGAAACATAAGAAAATCTTTGCGCAATTATTGCGCGATTTTCGTGCAAGAAATTTCAATTGGAACCCCCTCCCCCCCCCCAATTTTTTTTTTTCAAGAAAGTTAAAATTCATTTATATTTCAAATTCACTCACGCCTTTTGAAAACACAATTTTATAAGTTCACAACAATCGCCTGAACAAATGGTTATATAGCCATAACTCTGTGAAATTACTTTATAGAAAAACTGTAAAAATGTATGTCGTGTTTTTCTCTCTCTTATTTCAATAACGAACGATCCAAATTTTGCACGAGAAACTTCAAATATTTCTGATGAGAGGAGAATCAGTTTCGAATCCTGGTAATTTTACTGAAAGTGCCTTATTTTAAAAACTTGTATTGGATTACAAAAAGAAGCTTCTCCGATATGCAGTGTACAGCAAATGTTTCCCTTCCCCACCCCCTTTTTTTCAACAATAGCCTTCTTTTCTATGAAGAAAAATGTTCTATCTAATTAAAAATATTGTCTCATATCCTGTCGTGAAAGCTTTTTGATAATGAAGTACACGCAGAACAAAGTACTTTAAAAGTTATTTTTATGATTTTTCAAAACCCCATAAAGCTAAACAAAGAACATGCAGAACAAAGTACTTTAAAAGTTGTTTTTATGATTTTTCGAAACCCCTTAAAACTAAACAAAGAACATGCAGAACAAAGTACTTTAAAAGTTGTTTTTTGATTTTTCAAAACCCCTTAAAACTAAACAAAAAACATGTGTATCTGTTAAATGATATGTCTTAACATTCTAGTTCAAGATTGCTTAGTCAGTATAAGTAAGGCAGCCAGAGTGACAGGAAGTGTACAATTATTTCTTTCAAAAATATAAGATATCGTCTTTTTAAAATTTAAGGAATTGTTAGAAATTTAATTAATTTCCAAACTTATGGAATAATAACACAAATGAGTCTTATATAGGATATCATTACATGGGCCAATTTTTTAAAATGTCGCATTGATTGTAAATTATTTTAAAAAGTAGGATTCTTTTTAAATTGATTACTTAGTTGTTAAAATCTAACAAATTATTTTTATTTTATTTTCAGAGTTCTAGACTGCTAACATGCCAAACATTATAAATGACATAAAGTTAGATTTTAAAGATGTTCTTTTCCTTCCAAAACGAGGAAAAGCTGAGAGTAGGTCGGATGTAAGTACTATTTTTTTGTACATTGAAAGTTGATTTTTATTTGAATTTTTTAAAATATATTGCGTGACTGCGTGTGTATTATATCTTAATATGCCCCCAAAAATTTCAATTTTTTTGCATTGGTTTTTAACTTTGCCGTCTTTACAATTTTTTTTATTATTTATCTTTCCTCATGTATACTATTTTCATTATTCCATATATATTGCTTTTTTCTGTTCTTTATTTAATTTTCGTTTTCTACTTTTGTTGGTCTCTCAATCGGGTTCTGATTATTTTAAAATAATCAATTTATTTTAGTTCGGTAATTAAAAATGACATTTTGCATTGTATGCTCTTTTTACCATTTAAAATCTTGGAACTATGAATTATGATGTAAATCTATGACTTTGAAAAGTAACGCTTTCTACAGCATGCACAAACATAGAAATAGCCATTATTTGTCTCATTTCCGAAAAAATTGGTCGCTTTTTAAGCACTATTTGTGAATCTTATTCTTAGCAAGAAGGGGTCCTGTAAATTGTAGGATTTTTTATATTATATTATTGATCTACTATAGGTTGACCTGAACCGTGAGCTGACCTTTAAGAACTCTGGTCAGACCTACTCCGGTATTCCTATTATTGCCTCGAATATGGATACTGTTGGAACCTTTGAGATGGCTAAAGCCCTAGCTAAGGTATCATTTACTATCATAAAACATAAGGAATTGAGGCATTGTCACAAACTCTAATCCCTATATCTGTAGACCTTTGATAATTCTGTTGGATCAAATAACCTAAGTTTGAAAGGTTTACATCATCAGGTTGCAAAGATATAGGGAGTGTGTGGCAAAAACTCGATTCTTTTGTCTCAACAGTGAACACCACAACCCTCCTTTTGATATGGGGGGGGGGGCAGAGAAGTAGAGAAGTACCTTTATGTTTTTTAAATAAAAAATTGACAAAAGTTTAGAACCTTTCTCACATTTAGCAACTGTTAAAAATTATAATATTGCTTGAAAGTTTGATTGTATCAAGGGTGCCACTGCCCCCCTGTAACACGAAATTTATTGAAACCTTAAAGTAGTTTGATTCTGAAAATGATTAGAATAATGGTTAAGATTTAAAACTGAAGCAAATCATCCTAATTATCCATTTATTGGATCTATTTACATATTTTTTTAAACAAACAGTTTAGCTTTGAAACTGGACCCCCTCATGAAATTCTAATGCATTGCATGGCGAAGGAGGGGATACTTAGATTTTAGATTTTGTAAGCATTGAATTCCCCAAAGCTAAAGCTCCCCTTGTGCTGGGAACCTCTAAAAGTCGGTATAAGTTTATTGAAGTTATTGCTGGGAAAATATTTATTAGAATTCGTCATTGATATTGGATTCTTTAGACAAATACAATTTTATCAAACTAAATGCATTTCCACAAAATAAATAAAACATTTTGAATAAATTTCTCTCTTTTTAAAGAAATATTCCTTTTTATACGAAATCAGATCAGACTTTTCCGTGATTTGTAGGTTAGACTTGTAGGACAGATTTGACTAGATTTGGGACAGTGTAGGACAGATTTCAGTAGATTTAGAATAGTGACGGACATATTTCAGTAGATTTGATACAGTGTATGTCAGATTTGACTAGATTTGGGACAGTGTAGGACAGATTTAATTAGATTTAGGATAGTGACGGACATATTTCAGTAAATTTGAGACAGTGTATGTCAGATTTGACTAGATTTGGGACAGTGTAGGACAGATTTCAATAGATTTAGGATAGTGACGGACATATTTCAGTAGATTTGAGACAGTGTATGTCAGATTTGACTAGATTTGGGACAGTGTAGGACAGATTTCAGTAGATTTAGGATAGTGACGGACATATTTCAGTAGATTTGAGACATTGTATGTCAGATTTGAATAGATTTGGGACAGTTTAGGCAGATTTCAGTAGATTTGGGACAGTGTAGGGTAGATTTCAGTAGATTTGGAACAGTGTAGGACAGATTCAGTAAATTAGGGAAAGCGTAGGACAGATATCATGAGACTTGGGACAGTTTAGGGTCAGATTTCAGTAAATTAGGGACAGTTTAGGACAGATTTCAGTAGATTTGGGACAGTGTAGGACAGATTTCAGTAGATTTGGGACAGTGTAGGACAGATTTCAGTAGATTTTTGGACAGTGTAGGACAGATTTCAGTAGATTTTGGAACAGTGTAGGACAGATTTCAGTAGATTTGGGACAGTGTAGGACAGATTTCAGTAGATTTGGGACAGTGTAGGACAGATTTCAGTAGATTTTTGGACAGTGTAGGACAGATTTCAGTAGATTTTGGAACAGTGTAGGATAGATTTCAGTAGATTTTTGGACAGTGTAGGACAGATTTCAGTAGATTTTTGGACAGTGTAGGACAGATTTCAGTAGATTTTTGGACAGTGTAGGACAGTTTTCAGTAGATTTAGGACAGTGTAGGACATATTTCACTAGATTTGGGACAGTGTAGGACAGATTTCAGTAGGTTTGGGACAGTTTAGGACCGATTTCAGTAGATTTGGGACAGTGTAGGACAGATTTCAGTAGATTTGGGACAGTGTAGGACAGATTTCAGTAGATTTTGGGACAGTGTAGGACAGATTTCAGTAGATTTAGGACAATTTAGGACAGATTTGAGGAGATTAGTGGCAGATTATGAACCTCTTAGGACAGTGTAGGACAGGAGTTGAAAAGTAAATGTCAATACAGGACAAGACTGGTTAAAGTTAGGACAAAGTTGGCTTGAGTTTATATTTGACAAGTTTAGAACTTTCTAATTTGTAAGTTTTGTTGACAAATTTGTAATTTTGTTCGTTTGGATTCTTTAATCAAACTTCTTTTCACTGAAATCCTTTTCATTAAAATCTTGATAAAATTTTAGCTTTGACCTTTTTTGAGACCTATAAGGTAAACTGGAGATAATATAATCTAATTACATTGGGAAAGGGTTCCGGTTGCTCTTTTAATGAAATTAAATAAACCTTGAATCAAACAATTGGGATAAAAGGTAAAAATATTAAAGGGAGTGTTCTCGAAAAATGATAGAGGGTATCCGGTATAGGCTTACGTCGAAAAATATTCTGTTGCGTCTATGAGGAGAAAATTGTTAAAAAGGTACAAATTCAGAAAGTTGCAATTTTCGACTCGGGTCGTTAAAAAATCAATTTAATTCCAGACAAATCATTCAGAAATAAAGAAATTTTTATAATCTCTCTTTTATCAAAAGTTCCGATTTTGGTTTGGAGAGTTTTTGCAGGCTTTGGTTGATATTTTGCTCTTTGGATCCGCATAATTTTGCAATTATCGGCTCCATTTTGCATGGACAATATGGAGCCGATCATTTCGGGACACAATAGAAAGATAATCAGAGAAGAACGAGAAAAATCTACTATATTAGACAAAAAGAAAGAATTTGATTGCCGAGTTGGTGTAACAAGATGTCCCTTTAAATGGAAAATGTTTAACTCAGTCAATTATATGCAAAGCAAAAATATCAACAAACGATGATACTTAAGCCTACATTGGGCTAACCTCTAATACCTTCAGAGAGAGGTTCTTGAATCGCACTAAATCTTTCAATCTAAAAAAATACGAAACCAGAGGCCGAATTTATAGAATATGAGCCGCGGCTTAAATTTAAGCCACGGCTCAAATATGGTTCGTTTCACTTAAAATCGTATTCATTGTTTCAAGATTTAAGCCGGCGCCCAATTGAAACCGGTTTTTGGCGGATTTAAGACGCGGCTCAAATTCATTAAATTCGGACAGAGTATTAGCCTTTCAAAATACAGATGGAAACTGAAATCTATGGACAAACTGTTCAGCATAGATTGAAACATCAGTACCTGCATACAGTCCAGCCTCGATAAACTGTAGACTATGTTCAATGTAAAAAAAAAACAATTATTCTGTTTAAAGAAGAAGAAAAAAACTTTTGAACAAGAGAAGTGAGCTGTTAGGAAAATGTAGACCTAAAGCCAATTATCGTTTTTTCTGCAACTATTAAACAACCAAACCAGTAACTAGCAACTGGCCTGCTTGTTTAACCTGTAAACTTCACGCTACTTGGTTTCTAAGCTTTAGGAAGCTAGAATCCCAAGGAAAATTTAATAATTAATAATTTCAAGTTAAACTCTTTAAAACTTTGTCGGAGTAAAAAGTTTGGAGATATCTTTGTTTTTTATCTTCCGGCGCTTTATTAAAACAGAGATCTGATCAATTATGAAATAGATATCAATATTTTTGTTTCTTGGAACTGTTTATTTATTTTGCGGATTTTCTGCGAAAGTGACCTGTGCATTTCTTGTTTATAAGAAGCAATGGATAAGTGATCAGAATTAAAAACCGACGGTATCAAGGGTATCGTTGTAAAAATAGCATTGCAATCTTTGCATGGAGGGTCACTTGAAATTACGCTTTCAGTTCTTAAGTTCTCATCTATTTTTAGCATGGATGCTTCACCTGTATCCACAAGTTCTACAATGTGGAGGAGTGGGTCAAGTTTGCCAAGGAGAACCCCGAGGTGTTGAAGTATGTTGCTGCCAGCAGCGGGTCTGGGGAGAAGGATTTCTTGAAGCTTAAGGAGATCGTGGCTGCTGTACCGAAGGTGAGAAACGCATATTTGTCTGTTGGTTGGGGTTTTCAATAAACGTCAAGACAGCTAAACCGATCATGCCCAATTTTATTTGTGGTATTTCGTTGAAATAAAAAAAAAATATTTCAAAAATGTCAGTTTTATCATTAACAAAGACTCCACGTTAATTTCTCTTTAAACAAAATAAAAACTTTACATTATTTAGATATTTTTTATTTCCCCATCTTCAAATAGAAGCAAGCAGAGGAATTTAATGGATTTATCCACTATGACCACATCTACCCCATCAAAATCCACCTTTTAGACAAAATACATTTTTTGGTCGGAAAACCCTTTCATTGAAAAACTTCAGGTCAGAAAACATTAAAGTTGAGAAAAAATGTAAAAAGGTTGAAATTAAATGTCGAAAAGCTTAGATTTATGGATTAAATTTTTTTTCAAAAATTATCGTTTTTCAAGAAAACGATCGTGTCGTTCGTTGTAACTCATCGGTTTTTAAAAACGATAGGATCAATAAAAGAAAAAACGAAAAATTATCGTTTTTTCGTTCGTTTTTAAAACGTTAAACAATCCTATTCATGTCAGTCTGTCTGATGTCTTAATAGTTCTAAGATACTCGTATGAGCCATTTTTATTGACGCTTTCTATTGAAATAATCTTGGTGTTTGTCTTTTTTCTTTTTAGTTTTCCATTTATTTTAATTAGGATGAAATAAGAATCTTTTTTAAAGAAATTGTTTTAAAATTTCCGAAGTAGGACGAAGTTGAAACAAAACGAGAATACAAGATCAAAATGTATAGACAAGATCAATTGTGTCCAAACTAAGCTAGTCCTAAAGCCCCTTAAGATTTTTTTGTATTTCCATATTTTAAATTTTGAACAAAAATTGGAATATTATCGATTTTTCTCTAATATTTATCAATAACTTAAATCTGTATCTTGTCTATTTGATAATTATGATAGTTTTGTTATTTTGTTCAGCTCGGATTTATCTGCTTGGATGTTGCAAATGGATATTCAGAATTCTTTGTCATGTTTGTTAGAAAGGTAAAAATATAAATATAAACGTCATGGGGTCCACGTTTTTTCTTTGTTAAAAGTAAAACCGTGTTCAGTTTTTAACGTGTTTGCTGATGCTATTATGACAATTATGCGGCAACAAGGATTCACAACAGCAGTGCTGAGGATCCGGATCCGCAAAAATATGCGGATACACAGATCAGGATCCAAGGGGCAAAATACAAAACCAAAACGTGAAAAAAAAACCTTTTTACTTTGACAATTCTGCTTTGTTAAAAAAATCAGTAAATCTTAAAGAAATGTCCATGACTTGGATCCTGATACGGATCCATTTTTTTCCAGTGCGGATCCGTATCCGCATCAAAATTTAAAAAATCCTAAGCACTGCACAACAGTCACATCTCCCACAGTTATCTCTGATCTCTGCTGTAGAAATGACTCACTTGAAAAGTTTCAAACTTAAGAGACTGTAAGCATGATTTCAAGTAACCCTTCATGCAAAAATGCAATGCCCGATTCACAACGTCACTCTTAAAACCTTTATCTGATCAATAATGTGGAAGTAATGGTCATTCTCAGACTTAAAAGTGTTTATTTCTCACAATTCCCATGTGTCGTCCTGCAGTAGAAATAACTTTTGAAGAGAAGTCACAATTTAAAAACATCAGTTTTTTTAAATTTTTAAACATTGATATTTAATTCATAATTGTTCAGACAAAGCTTTAAGATTAACTTCAGATACTGGCATTGTAGTTTTTGCATCGAGGTTCACTTGACATTACGCGTACAGTCCCTTTAACCTCGTGTAAAAGAGGTATAAATTATTATAACATGTGCAGTGTGTACTGTAGCGTTTATTTTTAGATTGAAAAGTAAAGATTTCTTCATCAAAGCTTTTCTAGACAAAGGGAAAATGTTGCAAATCGTTTAAGGCTTTCATATGGCGTCAAAAAATATGATTTTGAGAATTAAACAATTTTGTGATTTATCAAATACGTGTTTATTCACTAGGTTCGGAAAGAGTTCCCAACCATGACGATTATGGCAGGGAATGTTGTTACTGGAGAGATGGTTCAAGAACTAATCCTTTCTGGAGCAGATATTATCAAGGTTAGGGTTCAATATTCTCCAGATATTATCAAGGTTAGGGTTCAATATTCTCCAGATATTATCAAGGTTAGGGTTCAATATTCTCCAGATATTATTAAGGTTATGGTTCAATATTCTCCAGATATTGTCAAGGGTAGGGTTCAATATTCTCCAGATATTATCAAATTTAGGGTGCATGTATTCTCCAGATTAGGTTTTATTTAATCTTTTTGAATTATGTTTCTTGACCTATTGTATTTTATATAAAACTTATTATCAAGGTTAAGGTTCAATATACTTCAGATATTGAGTTAATTAGTACATTGCTTATGAAAAGTACAGTACACTACCATATTAAATGGATAGATCGATCTTAGAAGTATTCTTCATTATTGGTCCGTAGACGGGATACTACTATACATTCACTCCCAGTTCTTACTTTGAATAAAGAAGCTGGCAAATTACGTTTTACTGAAATGATAAGAAATCATTTCCCATCCCCACCCCTGAAAAATATACAATTATACACCCCTGTAAGTAGACATTCATGCTCTGAAACAAATAGGATCTTGAAAATCAATTTTTGAGTTGAAATGGGTCTGTGTAGTGTGTACAGTGCGTACAGTGTACACTGCAAAAGTGCTGTATTTAATGTTTATTGGACTGTTAAAATTCACAACTAAGTTTTACGGGTTCCACAGTAGTTAAATAAAGATGATCCAAAGATTGTATTTTAATCACATTTTATTGTGACCCTTTGTGTCCAGGTTGGTATTGGTCCAGGAAGTGTATGCACCACGAGAAAGAAGACTGGTGTTGGATATCCCCAGCTCTCAGCTGTTATGGAATGCGCGGATGCCGCACATGGTCTTAACGGACACATCATCAGGCAAAACAGTCATTTTGAAAAATCAGTCTAGAGAGAAAAAAAAACAATTAAATTGAAGGGGATAGTTTTAAAGAAAATAATAGGATAATTGGGACATCGATAAAGGGACAATGCCGTTGGAAAAGAAGTTTTTTGAAAAAAAATAATTGAACTTTGAGGGGAGTTGGGCCTCAAAAATGGCTTTAACTTTAATGCCGATTTTGTGTGGTTTCCCATCTTGACATTATTATAAAATTTAGAAAAATATAATATTTCATGCCTAATTAGTAATAATTGACTGTTGATCTGGGTAGTGATGGAGGTTGCACATGCCCTGGTGACGTGGCAAAGGTCTATATTTATTTTATTGTTAAATATTATAAAATAAATTCAATATTCTGATAGAGGTTCCAAGTAGCGTGCAAAAATGTGAAGTGTTTCGTTTTCAGAGTTCTAACCTCCAGCTTTTTATGCAAAATATTTGTCATCTTTTGATGTTTTTTAACAAAAGTTATTTTTACAGATAATCTTTTAACATACAATCAACGAATTTCTCGAAACAAATTTGTAGAAACAAAATTGAGTATAAGTCAATGGCTTATATTTTTAAGAATTACCTCTTGGCTCTTGGGGGGGGGGGGGTATTATTAAAAATCAATATTGACATATGTTACGTTTTTTCAGACTTTTCTAAGACTTCTGGTCAAATATTTTCTCACTTCAGTGAAAAAAACCCCCAGAAAAACGTTCAAATATACATAATATCTGATGAAATAAAAATTATATTTTTATATAGAAAAGAAAAAAAAATTGAAATATTAATCTCAAATCTGATATGTCTTGTCATTTAGATCAAATTATCACAATTTTTGGTTGTTTTTGTCGTTGTGTTTCGTGATTCGTCTAAAAATAAAAAAAGGATTTTTAGGCGTTTGGTGCTGGCGCCGATTTTGTTATGCTTGGCGGTATGTTGGCCGGTCACGATCAGAGCGGCGGAGAGATCATTGAGAAGAACGGAAAGAAGGTGTGCGCTTACTCTCAGCTGGAAACTCTTGTATTTAGGATTTCAAGATCAATGCTTGATATCAAGATCAATGCTTGATATCACAATGCTTGATATCAAGATCAATGCTTGATATCAAGATCAATGCTTGATATCAAGATCAATGCTTGATATCAAGATCAATGCTTGATATCATGATCAATGCTTGAAATCAAGATCAATGCTTGATATCAAGATCAGTGCTTGAAATCCTTTTTTTTTTGTTAACCTTCAGATAAATTTAATCTTTATTTCATGGAACCGGGAAAGTGTCCAAAATTCATCCAATCACGAGTGTCGTTTTCAGAAACCTATCAGCCAATCAGAAGCCGGGAAATTTTGCGCGCAATCCATGAGAGAACTCTCATTGGTCAGAACCCAGCAGGGCAAAAAGAGTATTAAGCAGAAAATCAAAATTTTCCAAAGTGGATATTGAAATTAAGTTAACAGGATTAAGGGTATCTAAGCAGAGTTTCCAGCTCTGTACTAGTAACATACTGTTTACATAGTACAGCTGTACTCTTGTACATTGTTCTATTGTATAAACTGCCGTATATATGACTGGTGTCTTTGGTCAGATCAATAACAGTTAGTAAACAATGATTTCACAGGCATTCAGGAATTTGTCCAGGAGGTGGCCTAAATTTTTTATTTCTTGGGGGGGGGGGGTTCAGATCCCCCTAAAACCCGTAGATTTCACTGAATACGCCTCTGCACAAGCCAGGCGAGGAGGTACTGGCAAAATTATTCTAAATCCTAGTCCTAATTCGTCAAATGCGTAAAATTTATTCAAATGAAACATTTGATATTTAAAATTTAGTCCTAATTCCAAATTGTGTAAAATTGATTTAAATGAAACATTAATTGATATTTAAAATTGTAAAAGGTGAAAGAGTTTTATGGCATGTCGTCAACTACTGCGATGCACAAGTATTCTGGTGGAGTTGCCGAATACAGGTAGTAATCAATAAACAATAAATAAAGTAATTTTCTGTATTTTGTTGTTGTAATTTTGGAATATGAATTTATACTTGATTTAAAACACTTTTACTGAACCATTTTTTTGTTAATTTAACCATTATTATGAATTGTATTTCCTCTTGAATTCTGTAAACAACGACCTAAGCTTTCTGGTCAGCTCCATAACCCCCCTGTGTACGCTCTTTTGACTTGTTTAAACTGTTTAACAATGTTAAGGGCTAGCGAGGGTAAAACGGTTGAGGTTCCATATCGTGGTGATGTAAACGCTACAATGCTAGATGTACTTGGAGGAGTTAGGTCAACCTGTACCTATATAGGAGCTGTCAAACTCAAGGTTCGTATTCCCCCCCCCCCCCCCCCCTTTTTTGTTTTTTTTTTGGGGGGGGGGGGATATTAACCAGATTGCTAATTACATCTGAAATTTTAATCCTTTTTTGCTTTTTGAAGAAAAAAATCCTTGTCAACATCTATTTGTTCAATTTAAAAAAAATTAAGATGCAAAACATCTAATTTGATTTAATAGACTTGGAGCTAGGTACAAAACGCCTAAATATTCGACAGAAAATTACAATAATTTCTATTTAATTTTGGAATTTGTACATTTTGCAACATTGATATCTAATTCATACTTGATCAGACTCCGTACCGTTGTGAATCGGGCATTGTTATCTGTGCATGTAGGATCACTAGAAATTACGCTTACAGTCCGTTCAAGAATAAAAGAATGTAAACAAAAGATATTATCAAGATTGAATAAATCTTTGAAAACATTAGAGTACAAGTTCAACTTAGTTGTCTTGCAATCCAAAAAGGGATTGTTGTTTTTTCTCGTCGTAGACCTCTAAAAATGTAATAGTTTCTTTAGGTAATGAATTGTGCAGATACGGTCTAAGAAGTATTGCTAACTTTTGAAATATTGTTTGTGGATTCCAAACAAAATCAAAATTTTTCTAATCATACTTGGAATGAAGCTAATGTGTTATAACCTGGAAATGAGATTTAGGTGTTTTTGAATTTAGTTGTTTTGCACCCACTCAATTTTAATCCGTTAGTCATAAACAAGTGCAGTTTTTATATTTTCTTGATTATTTTTTTACTTTTAATAATGCTATTAATGATGAGAATAACACAAGTATCTAAGTTTAATTAAAATTTGTAAGGAGAGAAGGTTTTAAGATACACTGTTGTTGTCGCTAAGGAACAAGATTCTGACGATGAACAGATAACAAGGAATAACCCTCAAATCAAAATCGATAATGCAGAAAACTCTTTATTTCCTAAAAAAAATGAAATGAATAATGATAAATAATTATTACAAGGGTTTACAAATTTATAATGAAAAGATTCTTACGATCTATTTGCCTATTTGTGGGTTAACTGTCGAAAAGTCCTAAGACGCTTTTTATACATTAAAACTTCTGAAAAGAGTAACAATTAAATGTTGAGGAAGAACACTAATTCTTTATATGAAAATATTCTTGCTTAACTTTGAGGTGGTTCACAATTAATAAACGTTTATACTCCGTTGTCGGAGACAAAGAGAAGCGGGCTGAAATTGTTTGGTTTGGTTTCTCGTCTCCGAGAGGAGCTTTTAGGTTGAAGACGACATTACATGGAGGGGGGGGGGTTAATGTTAATGGTTGACAACTGTGTATAGCCACAAAGGTTTATTAAACAATGGGTGAATCTTTTGTATCTTATCTGTTGCTTCAGCGCTTAGACGGGTTCTCTTCGACTTGTTATTATTAGACGCTGAATACTTAAATCATTTCCTAATTATTTCTTGATGGTTTTTCACTTTAAATTATTCGATTTAAAGTATACACTGTGGATGTCGAGTTCAGTCGCAGAAGCTGAGTTCTATCAATAAAAGTTTGCCCTTTGATTATAATCGTGTAATTTTGACTTTGCTAGAATTGAAATAATGATATTATCAAGGCTGTTATTTTCCTCTACTGATCAACCGGAGATGAGATTGGAAAAATTTATTAAGTTTAAGTGAGAGTTGGCGGGAAATAAACTAAAATTGAGCTGAACCATTTTTGATTTTGCGCGAACACTAACCCTTTTAATAATTTTATTTTAAAGATTTATTCACAAACAAAGATATAGATTATACTATACATACATATAGATTAATAGAGCGGTGGAGCAGAGAGCTTTTAGTTAGAGATTTATATATTTATATATATCTAGATATATACTATACATACATATAGATTAATAGAGCGGTGGAGCAGAGAGCTTTTAGTTAGAGATTTATATATTTATATATATCTAGATATATACTATACATACATATAGAAATAGTGTAGTTTAAAGGGAGTGTTCGCGAAAAATGAAAGGGGGTATAGGTTTAATGCGATAAAAAAGCGCTTTTGATCGCCACTAATCTTACTTCTATCTGTTGCGTCTATAAGGAGAAAATTGTTAAAGACGTCTCATACCGAATAACATGGCGTCCATACAAATTGAGAAAATTGCAACATACGACTTAGACCGTAAAAAAATCAATTTAATTTCAAACAAATCATTCAGATATTACAACCTATAGTCATCGATTATCTTTCGCCACATTTACATATAGTTGATTTTTCATAAAATGTTTTAATTGTTATGATCTGAGAGTTACTTATAAAAACGTTTATTCCTGTTTCGAGGATTTTTGGAAATGAAGACGACATTTTCATATTTTCCAGGAATGTTCGAAAGCAAGTTGTAAGCTAAATATTATTTTAAAAAACAAAATCAAAACTAGTATGAAATATTAAATTTATACAAATGTGGCGAAAGATAATCGATGTTTATAGGTTGTAATATCTGAATGATTTGTTTGATATTAATTTGATTTTTTTTACGGTCTAAGTCGTATGTTCCAACTTCCTCAATTTGTATGGGCGCTACGCTCTTCGGTATGAGACGTCTTTATCAATTTTCTCCTTATAGACGCAACAGATGGAAGTAAGATTAGTAGCAATCAAAAGCGCTTTTTTATCGCATTAAGCATATACCCCCTTTCATTTTTCGCGAACACTCCCTTTAAATATGTTGATATATTTCGAATATATAGTTTTACAATTGAAACAATAAAATGCTAAATTACGCAAAAATAGGCGACATTGATCATTACTCCATTACATATCATATTTATGATTTCAGTATTTACGTAATCATCGAATCCTTTAACATATAGATTATTTTGATATAATATCTGTTCGGTTCCATAGTAGTAAAACTATCGTGTCAGAATTCCCATTATTACACGGTTCAGGAGAAAATAGTTCCCATATTGTTCGCTTCCCATATTTTAGCTTTATGAGGAAAAAAATGTAATAATGTAAATTCTAAACTAGATGAAATAATCTTGATGTATTCTTTAACAAAGGGCGAAGAATTGATTCAATGCTTTAATCATTATATTAGGTATTTCATCAAACTGTCTCAAAGCCTTTATTCAAACAATTTTTTATTTTTTCTTCATTGCAAACCAAGTTTGTAAGATTTTGCAAATCTCTGCACATTTGTAATAAAACGGTCAGAGCTTTTCCAAAATGGAAAGGTTATCATGTTTTTCACAATTTCTATCAACTTGCCTTTTCACTTTAAAAATGGATACTGAACAAAAAGAGCTTTTCCAAAATTCCACATTCAGTTGTAATATTTGGACAAAATAGACAGAATTAAGAGATGATGGGGGNAGTCACCATACCTCGCATAGCTAGAGTTGAAGTGGTACCACAATCATAACCATTAAATGTTAGTTTATGGAATCAAGTCATTGAAATATTAGTGTCACAAACTTTATGTGCTAGCACCCCATAGCATAGAACACAAACCAATAAATCTTGTTTCATGAATAAAAGACAAAGATCTTCATCATTCATTTCTTGAACTGGTTCTTGCTTGATAACCTGCTTTTCTCTCCTCTTTTTGGAAGATATAGGATTTAATATCCAGAAAATGATTTCTTCTGAAAATGATTTCACTCTTTTGTTCAGTAGATTGAGACAACCCACTACTATTCTCCATCTAAAAAACTCGGAGCACATTCAACATGCTAAATCTATTATATAGCCTCAACTTTAAAAAACAAACAAGCAAAAACATTATAAAATAGTAAACAAACAAACTAACTAAGAAAACAATCACACCGTGTACATGCATTATTTACAAATAAAGAATTAATTTTTACTTATAGAAGGGTTTTTAACATTTTACCATTGTAACATTAGAAAAATAAAATAGTAATAGTCATGACAAGAGAATAAGTGAAATTTTAAAACTTATTTGCAACCCTTCATGATGTCAATTATCCCAACTTGATATAGTTGAATTTCACACGAATTTTTAAAAATGTAATTTCTTGGGTATTTGCTCATGGAAACTTACAAATATGATAAAATGCGACCTTCGTTAAGAATACATCATGATTATTTTATCTCGTTTAAGAATTTCCATGATGACATTTTTTTCCTCATAAGATTATCGTATTCTTGTATTTAATTTTAATATTTATTGTAAAATCGAAATTTTCCATGCATGGCCGGTCCAATAGGACATCGCAATATTTCATTAGTTTCTTAACTAACATTTTACTATAGATCCGGTAGATTTACAAAACAATCATTGCAATGGAAAATAAATTTCTGCCAAGAACTGTGTTTAAGTCATTTTTGCATAAATTAGAAAGAAATCTAATGCAAAGCTTAGAACTTTCCTTATTAAGAATGAATATATTTAACTTACAACATTTTTGAAATTACTGCTTTATTTTTAGATTTGTTTTGAACTATATACAAGGTCTAAATAAACATGGGAATTAAAGGGGACTGCTGTTTTTATTTAATTTGACCCTCCATTTGCTGACGGACATGTCCGAATCCAAACGGTATCCTTTAATTCTTTATCTGATTAATAATGTGAAAGATCTCGTTTTTTTATCATAAAATTTTGATAATTAACATTTTTCTTAAGCGAGAAATGCGCAAAATTGTATATTTGATTAGGAGAAACAATAAAAAATGAATAGCCAGTTTTCGAAAACAAAAATAGTAATATAATTCCAACGTGAGCACTGAGCAGTCAAACCTTATAGGATTACCATTGTGAGTGAATCGGACATACCAGGGACCCTCATCACTTTGTTCCTTTGTACCTAATATATTGTATTTCGGTCAATTTTAAACATAAAATAAGTAAAACCACATTTTGAAAAGGCAGGAAATCTTTGTCATTTATGAAACACAGAAATCACAGACTATAAATAATTTGACACCACACCGTATTTGATAATTAAATGACTGTTTCAGCAACTGACGAGGAAGACGACATTTATCCGCGTGACGCAGCAGACTAACGAGGTTTATCAAGGTATTTTCAAATTAGTTCTCTCCGAATTTTATTTTTATTGTCACAGGGTTTCTCACTGAGAAATTTTGGTCAGGGGTTGCCTGACATTTTATTGGTAAGATCTACAAATTTTTATGAACCCCAATTCAACTTCAAGATGACCTTGTCATTTTAACCTTAGAGAAACATTGGCTCGGGGTGAGATATATATAAGAGGCTGGTGGAGAAAGAGGGAAATATCTTTTAATGTATTCTCAACAAATCCTCATATATTAAAATTATTTCTCTGAATTCCGAAAACTGCGAATTTAGTGCGTCCATATTTTAAACACTGCACTTGCGAGAAAGAAGAATCAATATTCCGTTCATAATGATTTGTCGGTTTTAAAAAACATTTTGTGTGTGAGTAAACACGTGAATTTTCTGAAAAAGGATTTTTTGCCGTAAAAATGACACACCATTTAACTTATCATATTTTTGTACCGATTATAGTGTACTAAATATTACAATATGAATGGTATTTTTGATAAATTGCATCTTCTTATTTGCAAAAGCTCACAAAGGTTTATAATTATATCATTCTAACTTTGGTCAAATATTTTAACAAACTAGCTGAAGTACCCGGCGTTGCCCGTGGATTTTTTAAAATCGAAATTTGAAGAAAAAAAATCGATTTTTTTATGCTCATGCTACCCCTGGGGTACCCATGGCATTCCTCAAAAAATGCCAGCCCATTCGGTCCAGCCGTTTGGTCAGTGATAGCTAACATATATGTATGTACAAACTTTTATATATATATATATATATATGTGCGAAGAACTGTATTATATAGAAGAAATGGCGTCATGTTGTCTTTAGTCATGAAATACAATTTTTACATTTTTTTCTTCTAATTAAGATATTTTACGCGGAAAACCTTTACTGGCTAGGAAAAATTGGCAATTTTTATAAAGAAATATTTTTTTTAAGTTTTAATTGAAGTAAAAATAAATTGAAATTAACTTTTATTTCCTAGCTCTGCTTTAAATAGCTTAATTTATATGTAGACATAACTAATGCCTCAACACAAACATTTTATAAAATTACCTATAAAGTAAATACAGGCTATAGAACTGTTATTTTGGCACGATGTGTTTTCAAGTTTTATGATTAAAGTTTTATGATTAAAATATTATTTCAGGGTCCACCTCGCAGCCTTGAAGAGTGTGAAAACCGGATCTACAACACTTGTACTGCACAGCACGTAGATCAACAAACAACTTTTCTTTTTCGGATACAACATCCTCGATTTCGGAAACATTCAGAGTATTGTTCTTCTGGAAAATTAATTTTAAATATTTATGTAAAATACTGCAATTTTTGAGTCTAAAATGTATCATATTTGTTTTAATGGAAAATTCGTTTTAGTTGGTAAACGTTCTAGATATTCCTAGTCACATTATGAATTATCATGGTCCATGCAACTAATTAGTTAATTTCTATATTACCTATAAAATACTTAAAATTAATCGATCTCAATAAAAACGTTTCATTTTTGAATAATTAGTATGAGATTAAAAGTTTAAGAAAGTTTTTACAGGGGTTTCAGATTTATTCAGGATTAATTTGGATCAATGAGACCTAACGGAACATATTATCAATCAGACCTAACGGAACATATTATCAATGAGACCTAACGGAACATATTATCAATGAGACCTAACGGAACATATTATCAATCAGACCTAACGGAATATATTATCAATGAGACCTAACGGAACATATTAATGAGACCTAACGGAACATATTATTAATGAGACCTAACGGAACATATTATCAATGAGACCTAACGGAACATATTATTAATGAGACCTAACGCAACATGTTATTAATGAGACCTAACGGAACATATTATCAATGAGACCTAACGGAACATATTATCAATGAGACCTAACGGAACATATTAGCAGACCTAACGGAACATATTATCAATAAGACCTAACGGAACATATTATCAATGAGATCTAACGGAACATATTATCAATCAGACCTAATGGAACATATTATCAATGAGACCTAACGGAACATATTATCAATTAGACCTAACGGCACATATTATCAATGAGACCTAACGGGACATATTATTAATGAGACCTAACGGAACATATTATCAATGAGACCTAACGGAACATATAATCAATGAGACCTAACGGAACATATTATCAATGAGACCTAACGGAACATATTAGCAGACCTAACGGAACATGGTAGCATGTTGCACCCAGCTTTGTGTAGCATCTAAGGGATATATTTATTTGAAACTCAATTCGTTCCACCGTTCATTTTAATGGTCAATGGTTTATTCTTTTTAACAGCTTTAGATCTAAATAATTAATCTTTTTTCTATGCTGGTCTCACACCTCCAAAAATGTTTAAAATAAAAAAGGATAGGGTTTAGATTTTAGAGAACTTTGAAGCTAGTAGTTTTTGGCTGTATCACAAGATATCCCATCAAATATCAATGGACGAATACATCTTCAATTCGAGTAATATGATGGTGCAGTATGACTTGTTTATGTATGATCCAAGTATTGTTCTACAGGGTGTCAAATATCAAAATAAAAAGTGCGTAGCTCATCATTAGAAGTTTTTGGACATAAAAGATAATTTCAAAATATTTAATTCTTTATAGTATCAAACAAGGCATACATATATACGGGGTTCGTTGAATCTATATATATACTTTGCTTGTCTGGGTGTGCGTTTGTTTATTTGTCTGTCTGTTTGTTTCTAATAAACGGTTGAACCGATTGTGTCCAAATTTTGTGTGGCACCTCACATGACCCAAGGAAAGGTTTATGCAAGTCCAGAAGTTGTCTCCAAAAATTTTATATTTTTCAAACTTGAAAATCCAGGAAAAAATAAGAAATCTGTGAACTTTAGTTTTGTTTTTTGTTTCATATATTGTATACATAGAAGATGCTTGCAGATGGAGCCACAATTGAAAGATGAAATAGAAGATGGTATTTTTTACGTTGGCATTACTACCTGGAGATCATCTAACATGATAGTTTGTTAAATCCCTGTTGTTTCCTTGATTAGACATAAATTCAATATCCCTCCCTCGTGTATCAGTTTACCTGATTACTCCAACATATCCCGGTGTCATGTTCAAACCTTTTTTAACAGGCAAATACATTACTTGTAAAAGTTGAAAGAGCTAAAAAGTGAAAAAAAAAGACATAGAAAGTGTGACTATCATAATTTTAACCAAATATTTTCATTCTATCCTGGAATTCTTTAACGATGCTTTGCCCTTTTTGTTACTTAAATTGATGGAATCCGTTGGAAATATGTTCAAATTTTTTAAGAAAAGCTGCGATAACTTTATCGACAAATATACAATTGTCATCTTGATTAAAAATAACGTACAATTATTGTATAGTACAAAATAGTCTTAAGTTCAATTTGTAAACATAAATAATTTTCGAAAAATTTCAAAATATAACATTTTTTCACATTTTCGAGTATTAATAAAAAACCTTGAAAATATATACAAAAAATAAGTAAATCTCAAACCCGTCTCTTACCCTGGAAAGATTTGACATTTTTAAGCAATATTTTATTAAATGCATTTACAAAAAGCCCAAGATGTACGAGGGGTTGAATTAAATGTGGATTTAAAGAACAAAAATGAGAAAATTACGAACTCAACCAACCTGAAACGTTTTTGACACAAATCAAATTTTCTGTAATTCCTTTATCTTGGGAATCTTGCAACCGAATATCGTAGAATATACAGTGATAACAAGAAAACTCTGGAAAATGAAGATGACTTCTAGGCTTAAGTATTGACTTTAAAGAGCTCAATAAGCATGGACACAGAAAGTGTTCAGTGTAAACAGACACATTTTACTTAATAAGTGATTTGATAAGTGTCTAGTAAAAATATTTGCTTTGTAACACCATTATATACATTTAAGTATTTCTATAAAGTCGTATTCCTATTTCAGAGTTTTCTGGTTATCACTGCAGATGTCTCAAACTAGAAATTCTGTTTTGATCAATTGATCTATGTTTATAGTATCAAAGATTTACGCCATCGTGCAGGCTGTAAAGATATAAATGGATCAGAACACGAGTTTATGGCAAAAAACAAGTTTATTTGTTATCGGTTGGTCGGAAATATTACGTACCCAAACCAGAACCTGTATGAATAGAACCACAATGATAGTTGTAATTATCTTAACTGGCGCTTTTCGACGTTTAATAATTTAGAATTAATTTTGCAATTGATGTTTTTAGGGTTTTGCTGGTTGGCTCCCTTGTTACTTGTCGAAGCCATGCCCAAAAAGGCTTTTATCAATTAATAACTAAAGATTCTTTTTATGCAGTGGGATCCAGAAACTATGGAGATAAAGACGACATCTAGACTCAAGTCTTGTGGTGTACACAATCCATTTCACTTTAAAGTTGATTTTCCAGCTCCTAGATCAATAACAGTACAGATAGAACACTAGATGTCGTCTTCTCAAGATTTTCGGTCACAATTACCATGAGGCAGTAGCACATAGGAGTTACGCGCATGCTTTCTCTCTCTCTTGTCATTCAACGCGGCATGCGCTTAACTCAGGATTATTGTGAACGAAAAACCCCTAAATCTTGAACAGACGACATATAGCGTTCTATCTGTATTGTTATTAATCTATGTTCCAGCTACCGGTAAAAAACTCTTTTCTTTATGACAACGTTAAAAACTGTTTAAATGGCGTCTTCCTTTTCCACAGTGTTCTTGGTCTTATCGTAAATTTAACAATATTTTCTTTTATGGACTTTGATGATTAGAAAGATATTTAGTTATTTGAGTTTTGGATCCTACATTGTTATCTTCTAAGGATGAGGCTTGAGAGACGACTGTACGGAATTTTTGCACATTTTTTCCTTCAGATCTTTTTATTCCTAGTTAGTCATTAAAGACTCACTCTTTGTGGCAAACCCTGAACATAATTTACATTTACAGCTTGGTTCGTTTCAGGAAACTTGTAAAGGGCAAACTTTTGTATTTCAAAACTGTATTCTGAAAAGTTTGCTTTTATTTAACAATGTTAAATTTTCATTCAAAGGGAAAAATACAGGGGAAATCCTGGCGTTAAAATCTTCTAAAGGTTCTCTTGTTAAATGCTGATAAATTACAAAGACGATTTTCCTTCCACTTTTAATATATTTTTGAAAACTAAAATACCCACAGAATATTTGACTTTAAGGACCACCTTACAATTAAAGGTCAAATATTGCCTTTAAACGATTTCCTTAGAAAAAAGTTCGCAAATGAAGAAGTAAATTCTGTACAAGCGTCTTTGAAGTCTCATCCTTTGATGGTTACCACTGATATTAATTGATTAATTGAGTTTAGGATGATACACTGAATATTTATCTTTACCTTGAGGAAAATCATTCAAAAATTATCCTCCCCCCCTGTTAATTTATTTTGAATTTTTCAATACACTGAGGTCTGAATTAATGAATGTAAATGATCATGAGTTTAACTACCAAACTATTATTGTAGCATTGTACAAAACATGCAACAACTCACATGGGGAATTAATTTCATGAAATTTTTATTTAAGGGTTCTTCGCGCTGGCCCACTTTTATTGACCATTCTATCTTTTATCGTGCTGTATCTGGGAATATATAATATATATATATACATAAATATGTATATCTTGGCTTGTCTGTTTATCTATTTGTTTGTTTGTATCCGACAAACGGCAAAACTGATCGGGTTCAAGTTTTTTTGTGGCAACCCCGGCCCCGGGGAGGGTATAATTGTGTCTGGGGAAAATGTCGACTTTTACGATTTGTTGTAAATTTACAAGCTTCAATCTATATAATAAAACAAGACATTCGTATATATGTATGTTCCTCGGGCCGGCTAAACGGCTGGACCGAATGGGCTGAAATTTTTTGTGGACACTCATGGGTAGCCTGGGGGTGACTTAGACTAAAAAATCTAAATTTTTTTTTCTTCAAAATTTGTTTTTGTCCACGCGCATCGACGGTCACTTCAGCTTGTAAATCATAAATAAAGGAGCTGAAATTGTTGCGATACAATTTTTACTTAGAAAACAAGAATTTATCTAACTTTTATATCAAAGGGAAAAAAGAAGATTATTTGCACTTTCTTCTTTATTAAATGGAAGTGAGAAAGTAATTATTTTAGTTATGCTAATTGTAAAATACATATAACTCCAAAACATGTACCTCCCTGTATCCCCCTGTATCCTCCTGTATCCCCCTGTATCCCTCTGTATCCCCCTGTATCCCCCTGTATCCCCCTTTATTCCCCTGTATCCCCTTGTATTCCCCTGTATCCCTCTGTATCCCCCTCGTATCCCCCTGTATCCACCTTCATTCCCCTATATTCCCCTGTATCCCCTTGTATTCCCCTCTTTTCCCCTCTATCCCCCTGTATCCCCCTGTATCCCCCTGTATCCCCCTTGTATCCTGATAATAAATGATGGATGGTTGGAGAGGATGAAGACTCCTGGGATTCTCTAGCAGATCAACAGATCCAACAATGGAAAACTCTTTTCTCAGATTCAGGTTTTTTCAGAAAAAAATCTTTACTTTTTTTGAAGAGAGTCTCAAGTAATCCTTTCAAAAATCTGTTTATAATTCTTTCAAACATAATACAGTGAAACCCTTAATAAAGAATACATCGAAAGAATTCATCAAATGTCGTATTCTTCACTTTCTGATAATGGAATGTTGCAGATATTTAGTTTTTTAATTAAATGATTATATGGAACTCTTTAAAACTGTTCCCGCATATTTATGGCTATTTATTTATTTTCGCAAACACTGAAATTTACGTAATATAGAATAAAACTCATTGAAAAATTGTCAAGACGACATTTGATAAATTCTTCCGATGTATTCGTTATTAAGGGTTTCACTGTATAATCCTTTCAAACATATCTATAAAATCCTCTCAAGAATTTATTTGCACTCTTTCTCAAATGTCTCTAAAATCCTTCCAAGATTCACTTTAAAATCCTTTCAAGAATCTGGTTAAAATCCTTTACAGAATTTTTTTAAAATCCTCCCAAAAATCTCAATAAATCCTTTAAAATCTGTCTATAATCCTGAACTCCCTTTTACTATAGCAGTGCTATAAAGAATTCTTCGTGCTGTATTTTCATGTAATGTTGAAGTAGCTGTATATCATACAGGGTGTCCAAATAAACTCGGGAATTCACTGATGAATTCGATATCGTCTTTGTTATGAATAATCATTGTAATACCTGATTTCAAAAGACATAATATTATTAGGTCTGCTAGAGTTTATTTAATGAAAGCAGTGAATGGCTGTAAAGATGTGTCTATAATGTCTTTGCAACAGTAAAGACGGACAAGTTTACTCTGTTTATATACTGTATGTAGTTTTCTTGCTTTACTTGTAAGTAGGACTGTATGCAGTCAAAACATAAACAAACTAATTGTAAACAAAGCAGACGAAAATCTTTTAGATTACAGCTTTCTCAGTATGTATCACTATATTAAATCAAAGAATTATTTGAAAAGACAATATCGAATTCGTCACTGAATTCCGATGTTTATTGGAACACCTTGTAGCTGTCAGCTATAAAGTTGAATTAGCTCCTGCATTTTATAAATAACTTTTTAAACAAAACATAACTTTTTAATTTCATTAAAAATGAAACAAAACATTACTTTTTATATTCCTATAAAGTTGTAACAAAGAGTCATTTTCCTAAATAATCAAATGTGTCAAGAACAGTAAATTACAAATTTACTTAGATCAAATCTCAAAAACCTAGCAAAAATTAGTGTTTTGTATTTAGCCCTGGACTCAATGTTTTAAACATTATTGTATTTATTAAACCCTTCTTCATTGGTATATGCAGTTACTTTATTTTATTCCGTAGGAAAATTATTATTTCTGGAAAGAACCAAGAAGGTCCTAATTGTTGTACTAATCTGGTTTCCTATTTCTTTTCTAATGGTTTATTTTTGTTCAGAAAACTTCTCTCCAAGTAATATAGAAGAGGAACAAAATCCAATTATTCCAAGAGAAACAGAAATAGAGAAACAGTCTGAAAACAGAATAATACCGCAGAATGATTATGTTGAGACAGTTTCGGAGATCCCTAAAACTCGTAAATACAATATAGATCTTGTGGGTGGGGATATATTTGATGATACTCCTGATAAAAAAATTAATGCTTTTAAAGTAAAGGTGACTAACACTGGATTGCAAATGCTTGAAGATGATATGAAGAAGAAAAAAATACCAGAACTTGGAAACAGGAATTTCAAATTGGGAAATAGAGGTGTCACGGGGAATGTTTTAAAGAATTCATTTATAAAACAAAATGTTGATTTCAAGAAGAAAAGTTCGAATTATGACTATTCTGAAATAATTGCAAATGACAATAGAATGAAAGCAACTGAGCATGATTCTAATGTATTACAATACTATGAAACGAATACAAAAATTGACCATGTGAAAGATTTGGATGAAAATGACGCAATGATAATTTTACCAGTTCCTAATGTAATGGAGCTAGATTCAAAAAGAATCTTTGTTCCCCGATCTGAAATTTCGACCAACAATCAAAGATTTGAAAATTTAAATCTTAATTCAAATTTTGCTAATCGGGGAATGGAAGGGTTGGTATCTCTAGAAACCCAGAATGAAGATAATAACAATAATGATCTTATTGATCACAGTTATTTCTCAGAGGACAATCAGAGCCCACAGAAAGAAAATCGGGCATTTATTGAACCACCTTCGATTGTAGAAACTTATAACACACAAATGGAAAAACCTGGTTTAGACATGCACCTTGTCCCGCTCAACCTTGGAGTCAAAGTTTCAGATTTAGAAAATCCAGTTGGTCAAATATTTGTTGTCAAGGACATTAAAAACCAGAGGACTGGAAAGAATGATAATTATCCTAAACATTTTTCTGATAATGATCAAATGAATTCTCAAAATAGAGGGCTTCTGTATTTAAAAACACAAAAGATTAACGAATCTAAAGATTACCTGGAAGAGGCAGGCACAGATAATGTAGAACAAGGATTAATTAATCCAGAACTCCAAAGTGAACCAAGCAATGTTGAACAGCAAGTATCAGTTACTAGACCCCCATTCAAACAAATAGAACATACAAAACTTTTCAATGATTTAGAGAAGTTCATTGAGACTAAGGGCCTTGGAAATAGTGAAGAAAATATGAGAAGAGTTATCTATGCAACAGAAAATTTATATGATAGTATCGAGGTTGGATTAGATGATAAACCAAACAAAAGTAGAATTTCTCAAAGGAAAGAGGAGGAAGAACAAGACAAAAAGGCGCTAAAAAATGACAAAATATTGAATGAAAATATTGATGGTACGGAGGATAATGCCAGTGAAATAGAGAAGGACACTTGGCATTTAGATGAAGAGGTTAGAAATCTAGAGAAGCCAGAACTAGGAGAAGAAATTCACAATTTTATAGAGGAGGCGGGCAGAGACTATTCTGACAATGATGATGATGAGGAAATTAAAAAACTGGAACGAGTAGAAAAGAAAGAAGATTCTGAACAAATTGAAGTAGATTCTAAATATGAAGAAAAAAAGGATGATTCCCTCGAGACAACTCCACAGAATCCACAAATTGCAAATGGAAATACAAGCTCTACAAGCTCTAGGGTGGAAACAAATGAAGAAAAAATAATGGGGGAAAGGGCAGAAAACTTTGGAGATGAAAACTCAAAGGAGAACAAAGAAAATGCTAATGGTGCTGGCTCTATAAAAACACAAAAAGACATAAACAAATCTACGATGAATCATATAGTAGAGAAGCTAGATGATTTTTATAAGGATGCCTATTCTGAAGATAATGTACGTATGGGTGCTATGCAGAATAAACCAGAGAAAAAAAAAATTTCCGGAAACTCTGTAATAGATATCAACAAGAAAGAAATGAAGGAGGAAGGAGAAGGTGATTCTTCTGGTAAACAGATTTATCAGGAGCCAAACGTTGATGAAGAAGAAAACAAAATAAAAGATTTAGAATCAGACGATGGAACAATAGAGAAAGAAATATTAACTCAAACTGTAAACAGAATGGAAGTAGCTGCAGAACAGACAGATACGATCTTTGAGGAAAACAATCAGGAAAAGTCAAGAGACAGGAAAAATGTGACGGAAAAAGAAATAAATAAGCTTGTAAAAGATTTTAAAGAGGAGAAACCCATTGAAAATGGATCTATATCTCACAAGGAGCAAAATGATACTTCCCAGGCATATAATCCAAACGAAATAAGTAATAATGGAAAAAATGAGAATGAAAAGTTAGAGGACATTGTTGATGACAACTCTCAAGAGGTCCCAACACGGAAAAGAAAACTGGAGGAAAAAGCGGAAAGTGATTCTCCTGACAGTTCTGGGGTTGAGTCAAATGAAGATCAAAGTGACATCTCTAAGTCTGGAAATAAAAATTTAGAAACAGACCCAAGTGATACTCAAGAAAATAAAGATAAAAAAGAAGATACTGTTAAAAACAACTCTGAGGAAGTCGAAAAAGAAGATATAGATATTAAAGACAAAGAGGAAGAGGATAGGGCCAGGACTGAATCTGATGCAAATGAGGATCAAAACATTGTCACTGAGACTAAGCAAGATATTTCTGAGGATGCAAGGATGGAGCAAAAAGAAATCTCAAATAAAGGAGATAATATAACAGAAGAGACTGCTAATGATAAAATTGATGATGATGAGAGTAATAATGACAGATTGGAAAACCTTGCAAAGGACAGATCCAATGAAATGCTTGCAGAGAAAGAAAATATTTCTGATTTAAATGTGGAGCAAATCAATAACTCTGAGACTTCAGAAGATGTTTCTGAGGGATCAAATAATAAAAAAGAAGAAAAATCAAGTAATGAGAAAGTTCTAAATGATAAAGAGAATTGGAATAGAAAAAAAGATCGTGTTGAACACAACTCTGAGGATTTGAATATTAAAAACAAAGAGAAAGGCAATTCTGTTGATATTACTGGATCTGATACAAATGAGAAAGAAAAAAATAAGGATTTTTCTAACAGATCAATGATTAAGAAGGAAGGAAACTCAGCGCATGAAGATGAACATGCAGACAAGGAAGTGAAAAACTCTTCTGTTAACTCTGAATCTGATTCAAACGAAAAGGAAGAAGAAGACTCTAATGAAGAAAATGAGATTGATGATAAAGCAACTGCTTCAAAAGATATTTCTGATATAGTAAACAGTAAGGAAGAACACATGGATGAAAAAAAAGATTTAGATGAAAAGTCAAATGGAACAGAACATATTAAAAATGCAGACAAGGAAGTGAAAAACTCTTCTGATACCTCTAACTCTCATTTAAATGAAGAAACAGACTCTGGTGACTCAAATGAGGAAAATGATGATGAGGGTAAAGGGAAAATGTCTGTTACAAAAGATGTCTCTGAAGGATCAAATAATGAGGAAAATGAAAGTTCGAATAGAGGAGATATTTTAGAGGATAAAACTCAAAACTTTAAAAATGACAATACTGAAAAAGGTTTTGATGAAAAAACAGAAGAAGTTGTGACAGAAGATATTGAAAATACAGAGAATGAAGTGAAAAACTCTTCTGATACCTCTAGATCTGATTCAAATGAAGAAAAAGGAGAAGACTCTGGTGATTCAAAGGAGGAAAATGATGATGAGGGTAAAGGGAAACTGACTGTTCCAAAAGATGTCTCTTATGGATCAAATAATAAGGAAAACGAAAGTTCGAATAGAGGAGATATTTTAGAGAATAAAACTCAAAACTTTAAAAATGACAACCCTGAAAAAGGTTTGGATGAAAACCCAGAAGAAGTTGTGACAGAAGATATTGAAAATGAAGTGAAAAACTCTTCTGATACCTCTCGATCTGATTCAAATGAAGAAAAAGGAGAAAACTCTGATGACTCAAATGAGGAAAATGATGATGAGGGTAAAGGTAAAATGTCTGTTCCAAAAGATGCCTCTGATGGCTCAAACAATGAGGACACAGGAAGTCCAAATAAAGGAGATATTTTAGAGGATACAACTCAAAACTTTAAAAATGACAACCCTGAAAAAGGTTTGGATGAAAACCCAGAAGAAGTTGTGACAGAAGATATTGAAAATACAGAGAATGAAGTGAAAAACTCTTCTGATACCTCTCGATCTGATTCAAATGAAGAAAAAGGAGAAGACTTTGGTGACTCAAATGAGGAAAATGATGATGAGGGTAAAGGTAAAACGTCTGTTACAAAAGATGCCTCTGATGGATCAAATAATGATGAAAAGGAAAGTTCAAATAGAGGAGATATTTTAGATAATAAAACTCAAAACTTTAAAAATGACAACTCTGAAAAAGGTTTGGTTGAAAACCCAGAAGAAGTTGTGACAGAAGATATTGAAAATACAGAGAATGAAGTGAAAAACTCTTCTGATACCTCTCGATCTGATTCAAATGAAGAAAAAGGAGAAGACTCTGGTGACGCAAATGAGGAAAAGGATGATGAGGGTAAAGGTAAAATGTCTGTTCCAAAAGATGCCTCTGATGGATTAAATAATGAGGAAACAGCAACTAAACTAAACCCTAAAAAAGATTTAGATGAAAAAACAGAAGGAATTGTGACAGAAGATATTGAAAATGCAGGCAAGGAAGTAAAAAACTCTTCTGATACCTCTAGATCTGATTCAAATGAAGAAACAGACTCTGGTGACTCAAATGAGGAAAATGTAGATGAGGGTGAAACTGTCCCTAAAGATGTTTCGGATAGATTAAATAATGCAGAAGATAGAACTACAAATAAAAGAGATATTTTAGAGAACACAACAAATCAAAATTTTGAAAATGGCAACAATGAAAAAAAATTTGATGAAAAAACAGAAGACATTGTGACCGAAGATATTGAAAATGAAGAAAAGGAAGGGAAAAACTCTTCTGATACCTTTAAATCTGATTCAAATGAAGAAAATGATTCTGTTGACTCAAATGAGAAAAATAATGATGAGGGTGAGGGGAAAATATCTGTTCCAAAAGATGTCTCTGATGGATTAGATAATGAGGAAAAAGGAAGCCATAAAGGAGATATTTTAGGGGGTACAACTCAAAACTTTGAAAATGACAACCCTGAAAAAGGTTTAGATGAAAAAACAGAAGAAATTGTGACAGAAGATATTGAAAATGCAGAGAAAGGAAAAGACTATAATGAGGAAATTGAGGATAAAGGGGAACCAATTGCTTCAAAAGATGTTTCTGGCATATCAAAAAATGAGGAAGAACACAGTAATGTTGCAGAAGATTTGAATGAAAATAGCAAAGAAATTGTGACAGAAGATATTGAAAATGATGAAAAGGGAGAGCAAAAATCGTCTGGAAAATCTAAATCTGATTCCAATAAAGAGAATGAAGAAAAAAACTCTGGTGACTCAAATGAAGAAAATGACGAGGATGATAAAAAGACTGTTTCACAAGAAACCCCTAAAAAGGAAAAAAATGAGAAAGCACAATCCTTGAGTCTGGAATCAAAAAGTCCAAAAAACGAAAGCGATACAACTACGTCAGCAAATGTCCCAGATATGAATGTGGAAAAGGATGAGAGGAATAATGACAATTCAGGGACAAATTCAAATAAAGGCCAAAATGAAACTGATGAAAATACTACTGAGACCTCAAAAGAAACTTCCAGTAAAATATTAAAGGATGTAGAAACCTCTAGGGATGACTCTAATGAGGAAAATGGAAATGATTATATGGACAATGATGAGAATGAAGAAAATGAGGACAAAGAAAAAGCAGTAGAACCCTCAAAGAGCGAAACAATTGAAAATATCAAAGTAACAACTGATGTCACAAAAACAAAGAATGAAAAGAGTGAAGAAAATGAAGATGAATCTTCTGGTTTGGTCCATGGAAAAAAAACATCTGAAGAAAAGATCTCAAAAAACTCAGAAGTAAATGATGGAAAAGAAAAATTGAGTTCAGATGCTCAAGAAAACAAAAAAAATGAAGTAGAAAATGAAAAGGATGATCAAGTTTCAAATCCAAAAGAACTGGAAAAAAGTGTTGAATCAGAAAAATTCAAAGAAGTTCACATTCCAGAGGTCAAAAATGTTAAATCATCTATGAAGGAATACCCAAAAAATTTGGACATGATGCAACCTGAAGAAGATTCTAAAGCTAATGAACGGAGTGATAAAGAAGAAAGTAATGACACAAATATTGTGGAAGAAAAGATGCCCCAAAATGAGGAGAGGGGAAATGATTACATGAGTGATGATGATACTGAGGAAGATGTTATTGAGGATGATTCTACTGATTCCCCTCAGCCTAATCAAGAAGGTGATCCTGATAAAGAAGAAATTAAAGAGACAAATGGTGTGCAAGAAATAACACCCCAAATTGCGCACAGGGGAAATGACCACTTGAATGATGATAATACTGAAAAAGATGTTATTGAGCACAGTTCTTCTGATGTTCCTGATCCTAATCCAAAAAATGATCCAGAAGAAGAAACTACAGAGACAACTGGCGTGCAAGAAAAGACAACCCAAAATGAAGAGAGAGGAAATGACTACATGAATGATGATGATGCTGAAGAAGATATTATTGAGCATGATTCTTCTGATGCCCCTGAGCCTAATCAAGTGGCTAACCCTGATAAAGAGGAAACTAATGTACAAGAAAAAATGCCACAAAGGGAGGAGAGAGGAAACAATATGAATAACGATGAATTTGATAAAGTTGTTACTGAGCCCAATTCTTCTGATGCCCTTCAACCTAATGATGATAATGATGGCCAAGAAAATACAAAATTTGAAGAAGAAAAAACCAAAGAAAAAAATTACAATCCTGATGATAGAAGTAGAAGAGAAAATGAGAAAGAAAGCATCCCACAGGATGATGAAATAATTGATAATGAAAGAAAGCGGAATTTGAATTCAATTCTAAACAAGTTTCTCAAGTTAAGATCAATAAATGCAAGTTAGTTTACATATGTTTAATATATATTGATAACCATAAAAAGTTCATGTGTTACAGATAAAAATGTAAATTTAAAATATTAAGATTTCAATTTCTCCAGAACCTTCTTCTGCGTTCTTTGAGGTTGATGTCTGCACTAGAGTCAGCATTTGCTGCAGCATTGATGTTTTGATTGGAATTAATATTTACACTAGCAGCAGAATTTGAATTTGCGCTTAAGTTGACTCCAGATCCACCTGAGAATTGTGCACTTGCCTCAGAATTAGAATTAGCATTGGCTGTTGCTCCATTGCTATTGATAGCTGCAGAAGCTACTGAATTTGAATTAGCATTGAGGTTGGCTTCATTGCCATTAATAGCTGCAGAAGCTGCTGAATCTGAATTGGCATTTGCAATAGCTCCATTGCCATTGATTACTGCAGAAGCTGCTGAATCTGAATTTGTATGGAGGTTGGCTCCACTTCCAGTGCTTTTAATATGTGAATTTGGTGCAGAACCAGCATTAACCGACCAACCAATATTTCCAGCCACTTGCGCATTATTTGCCCCAGAATTAGCATTAGCAGAAAGGTGATTATTTTCCACAGTGTTGACTCCTGCTCCAGTAACAAATCCGGAGCCATGCTTTATTCCTCCTGTCATTATCGCTCCTCCAGAATTAACTCCTGATTCTCCATTGTTTCCTGATCCAAAATTAATTCCTGATCCACCATTAAATCCAGATCCTTTATTGAACGCTGAACCAGCATTCACTCCTTCTCCAAAATTTGCCCCTGATCCTGAATTGAATCCTACTCCAGATTGGATCCCTGATCCAGGTTTTATTCCTGAGCCTGTATTGAATCCAGTATTGAACCCTAACCCAGCATTAAACTGTGCTCCTGTATTGAACCCTAACCCAGGTTTGACTACAGATCCTGTTAAAATCCCTGCTCCATTACTCGCTCCTGTTCCTTTTGTGACTCCTGATCCGGTAAAAAATCCTGAAGCGGAATTAATACCTCCAGCCCCTGCTCCAGTTTTAATTCCGCCTCCTGCTAAAATTCCTGCTCCTTGGTTAAACTCTCCATTGTTGAATGAAGAACCTCCATTTATTCCTCCAGTATTGGATGAAGAACCTCCATTGAATGCTCCAGTATTGGATGAAGAGCCTCCATTGAATGCTCCAGTATTGGATAAAGAACCTCCATTAAATCCTCCAGAATTGGATGAAGAGCCTCCATTTAATCCTTTGATATTGGATAAAGAACCTCCATTGAATTCTCCAGTATTGAATGAAGAACCTCCATTAAACTTTACCCCACTATTTCCTCCTCCTCCTCCAATATTAAACCCTGTTCCAGTGTTAGATCCCGCTCCAGTATTTATTGCTGTGCCAGGGTTAAAGCTAGTTGCAGTATTGAATGAAGAACCTCCATTAAATCCAGCTCCAATATTATCTCCTCCTCCAATATTAAACCCTGTTTCAGTATTAGATCCCGCTCCAGTAAGCATTGCTGATCCAGTATTAAAGCTACTACCAGTATTGAGTCCTGTCCCTTTGTTAGATCCTCCACTGGTAGGAGAACTATCAGATCCTGCATTTGCTTGAACATTAATTCCTGAACTAGTCCCAGCATTTGCACCTGCAGAAGCTCCTCCACTTGTTGTTCCAGTTCCAGAGTTAGAATTGGCAAACAGAGTTATGCCCTGCCCTGCACTTCCACTTCCTTGCAGAGAGGCACTTGATCCTGAGTTAGCTTGTGCACTTCCACTTCCTTTCAAAGAAGCACTTGATCCTGAGTTAGCTTGTGCACTTCCACTTCCTTGCAGAGAGGCACTTGATCCTGAGTTCGCTTGTGCACTTCCACTTCCTTTCAGAGAAGCACTTGATCCAGAGTTTGCTTGTGCACTTCCACTTCCCTTCAGAGAGGCACTTGATCCTGAGTTAGCTTGTGCACTTCCACTTCCTTGCAGAGAAGCACTTGATCCTGAGTTTGTTTGTGCACTTCCACTTCCATGTAGAGAGGCACTTGATCCTGAGGTAGCTTGTGAACTTCCACTTTCTTTCAGAGAGGTACTTGATCCTGAATTAGCACTTCCACTTCCCTGAAGAATAGAACCTGATCCAGAACTACCGGTTCCTTGCACATTAGAGGTTTCTCCTGGCTTGGTCTGTGGATTTAACTGAATATTAGTAAGAGTAATCACAGGAACTTTGTACACCTCATAACCAGACATTTTATTGATGATCATTTTCTGTATAATTGCTTGTTTTTCCTTGGATTGTGTGTTCTTTTGAGCTTCAATTAGCTGCTCTATAGTGTACTCTACTGTTGAGGTTGTGGTAATTTGTAGTGGCTTAGTTGATACTTTCTCTACTTGCTGTTCTTCTTGTTTAGTTGAGTTGAGCTGGGTTTCTTGCTGCTGCAGTTGATTCTGAACCTGTTGATTAAGCTGGTTCTCTTGTGGCTGTTGTTGATTCTGAAGCTGTTGATTTAGCTGGGTTTGGAGCTGTTGTTGATACTTCTGTTTATTGAACTGGTTTTCCTGTTGCTGTTGTTGGAGGTGCTGCTGAGGTTTTTGATTCTGTTTTTGAAATTGTTGTTGAATATGTTGCTGTTGGGGGGTTTCTTGGTTTTGATTCTGCTGAAGATTCTGGAGATACAGCTGCTGGTTTAACAGCTGTTGTTGCTGCTGTTGAAGTTGCTGTTGCTGTTGTTGGAGGTGTAGCTGATACTGCTGCTGCTGGTTTATTATTGTATTTGTCAAAACAGTAGATTGACCAGGTTGCACATTACTGAAAAAGTAAAAAAAAAAAGTAAGAAGTGACAAATGAATATTAAAAAAGGAACAAAAATAATAACAAAAAGAAAATGTAAAATTTAAATGTACCTTTCTACTACTTGGCTGGTTTGGAATCCCTCAGTAGTAAGGGGAAGGGGACCTTGTGAAACAGGTTTAGGTTTGCTTGAAATTCCAGAAATAGATTCTGATGTTATAAATGTGGTCTCGATGGGGTTAAAGCTGATAGTTGGAACAATAGAAGGAACAGAAGCTGGAAGGTAAACCGGAAAAACTACGGGAGAAGGCGTTGAAGACTCTGGTTTTATTAGCGGTGAAGTTGTGAAGGTATTAGATGTTGTTGTCTCAGCTGTTGAAGCCGTAGAAAATGTTGTTGCTATAACAGGCATTTCATAATTGGAAGATGACGCAGTGGATGTCAGAGGTGTTGTGGTGTAAGATATGATAGAGGGATAGGGTGCAGGGGAAGGTGTGGTGTAGGGAACCTCAGATGCTGTGTATGTAGAAGTAACTGATGGGGAAGGTTCCAAAGGAGCTAGAGGAGAAGGTGATGGAGTAACTGATGTAGAGTGTGTTGAAGGAGCTGATGGAGAGTGTGTCGAAGGAACTGATGTAGAAGGTGAAGATGGAACTGATGAAGAGTGTGAAGATGGAGCTGAGGGTATTAGTGTAACCTTCTCCTCTGAACTAGATCCAGAAGACAACTCACTGTTGTACCCAACGTTTATGTTTATATTCACCATAGGGGTCTTAGAATAGTTTAGTCCCAGAAACTTGATCAAAGCAGACTCTAAACCAACTGCTTCATGGACATAATATGACTCTTGGGCTTGTTTTACACTTAAATATCCTACAAGCTTTTCAAGAATACTGGACGAATTCAAACTGAAAAAAAAGAATAATGAAAGTATAAACATGTTTAGCCTTAAAAATGGTCTTAAATTTAGCTTTTTACCTTCCAGGTGGAAAAACTTCTGTGGAACTGGAAGACACAGATTCTGTAGGAACAGCAACAATCTCTGCAGGAGGAGAAACAGGTTTTGAAACAATTTCTGGGGGATTTGAAACAGCAGGTGCAGGAATACCTTCTTCTGTAAAAGAAACAGGTTCTTCTGTAGCAGAAACAGGATCTTCTGGTACAGAAACAACTTCTTCTGGAACAGAAACAGCTTCTTCTGGAAAAGAAACAACTTCTTCTGGAACAGAAACAACTTCCTCTGGAACAGGATCAACTTCTTCTGGAACAGGAACAACTTCTTCTGGAATAGGAGCAACCTCCTCTGGAACAGAAACAACTTCTTCTGGAGCAGGAGCAGCCACAAGTGGCATAGTTTCAGTTTCCTTGGGAACCTTTGTACCCTCTGTTCGTATTTTACATCCAACCATTGTAGAAATCATTAACTTATGAACCTTTAGCTGTTCCTCAATCAAGTTGATTTGTGACATCAAGATTTCAGTGACTGATTGTTCTGATATCGATGTAGATGAGGATGGATTTCCAGAAACATACTTCAGCAACTCTTGAACTAATTTCGATTTTTCTTTAGTAGAAGTAGCAGATATCTGAGCCTTTAGCATACTAAATTAAGACATTTTTAATAAATTTGTCTTGAAAAATCAAATGAAGATTGATGTGATTTTAAATATTTGTTTTGATTTATTTACCTGGTAATCACTGATTGGTTCAGCGGCTCTTTGTTGTTCATAGCATTAGCAGTGGCACTAGTAGCACAATCACACATGTTGGATGTGATTTCTTCTACGGTAGAGCCTTCAGTTTCCATAACAGTCGTTTCATAAATCATTGTCAAATCTTCGGGTTTAGGTTCAATATTGTCCGGATCAATTGATGAATCTTCAGAAGTTATATTGTCTAAAACTTCTGTTGCTGATTCAGGTTCTACTTCCGAGGGTTCAACTCCGATTGAAGAAGCTACATCAGTGGTTATACTAAAGCTGGTTCCGTCAGTACTATTGTTGCTACTAGAGTTGACAACATACTTCAATCCTGAACTTTGCTGGGTGTCCCCCCAAGCTGAAGCAGATTTTCCCTCAGTCTTATCTGGAATAGTTATAAACGGCACTTCATACAGCTGGAATCCGGCCATCTTGTTTATTATCATCTTCTGTATAATCAGCTGATCATCAACAGAGTTGGAGTTTAGCTCAGCATTGTGCAACTCTTCTAGAGTGTACTCTGGGGCAGTGTTAAGAGTGGTTGGAAGGTATACAGGTACTCCGTTCATGTAATCCAGCAGACCCTGCATCAGATCTAGTTTCTCTTCGTCAGAACTCGCCCGATTCTGCGCAGAGTGAAACCTAAGATATGAAAATGAATTTAAGATTTTTGTTTTTGCATGATTTTTTGGAAAGATATTATGAATATTAAGGATTTAAATAATTTGGATTTTCAACTTAATTTTTTTTCTGGAAAAAATATCATCTTTTTTAACTTTTGAAATTAATCTCTTGAAAATAATAAGAGTTCTTTTCCCAGAAATTTGTTACTGAGTTTTATGAAAGTTTTATACAAACAAGTCCCAATCATAACAATTCTCTTTTAATAATTGGACTTGTAACTCAAGCCAAAATATTTCCAAATGATAACAATAGCTACAGAGTGTCCCATCAAAAATTACAGTAGCAATATGTATTGAATGTCGTCTTTGATCTTTTATAAAAATTGGCGGCATTTATTAATAAACTTAATTTAAGAAGTAAAATTCTAGAGTTAATAATTACAAAATACCCCTAGTCTTGTCATCTTCAAATTCTTTGTGCTTTCAATATTAAAGGAGATATTAACAATTTCGTTTAGATTTCAATAGTTTTGGTTTTACTTTATAAAATTGAAATCTAAACGAAATTGTTAATATCTCCGGTCATATTGACAGAACAAAAAAGACAGACCACGTTTTGGAAATGCAAGGCCTAGGAGAATTTTGAGGTCATTGTTTCAAAAACTATACATTTGAAAGCAGGTTGACGGCTGAATGTCAAAAATAAACTCAGAGTTCAAAGACGACATTAAAATCGTCTTACAATTGTCATGTTTATGAGGACACCCTGTATAATACATAATAATGATACTATCAATAATATTAATAAAAATGAAAATAATGATGATGGTAATGTAGTAGTAGGGTATTTTTTTTCTTAAAGAGACTGTAAGCTTGATTTCAAGTGACATTCCATGCAAAGATGACAATGCCAGATTCACAACAATACCCTTAAAAGCTTTGTTTAATCAATTAGATGAATTAATAAATTAGAAATCACTGTTTATAATTTGGAAAAAATTTGCGGTTTCTCTGCAAAAGTTTTTACTGCAGGAAAATTTTTAAAGGGAGTGTTCGCGAAAAATGAAAGGGGGTATAGGCTTAATGTGATAAAAAAAGAGCTTTTGATCGCTACTAATTTTACGTCTATTTGTTGCGTCTATAAGGAGAAAATTGTTAAAGACGTCATATACCGAATAACTTAGCGGCCATACAAATTGAGAAAATTGCAACATACTACTTCGACCGTAAAAAATCAATTTAATTTCAAAAAAATCATTTAGATATTACAACCTACAGTCATCGATTATCTTTCGCCACATTTGTACATATTTTATATTCTATAATATTTATTTTTTTAGAAAACCTTTTTAACGGATTCCGAAAATTGTGAGTGGTGCACGGCATTCTTAGATAGTTGCGCAAGCGACAAGAGAAATAAACAAATTCAAAACAAATTATTAAAAAATATAAACTATAAACTATAAAATAAATATAAAATATAAACTATATACAAATGCGGCGAAAGATAATCGATGACTATATATGTTGTAATATCTAAATAATTTGTTATAAATTAAATTGTTTTTTTTTACGGTCTAAGTCGTATGTTGCAATTTTCTCAATTTGTATGGCCAGTAAGTTATTCGGTATGAGACGTCTTTAACAAGTTTCTCCTTATAGACGCAACAGATAGAAGTAAGATTAGTAGCGATCAAAAGCGCCTTTTTATCGCATTAAGCCTATACCCCCTTTCATTTTTCGCGAACACTCCCTTTAAATCTAAAAACGACTATATCTTTCACATTATTGATCAGACCAAGGTTTCTTGGTTACCGTTGCCATCTTTCCATAAAGGGTCACTTAACATTACGCAAACAGTCCCTTTATAATGTCATTATTTATACGACGTGACTTCTAAATCTTTTTTTAAAATTTTTAACTCTCAAAGTTTGATGACATACATTTTATGAGAATTATCAATTTATGATTTTTTAGTAAACTCAAGAGTATCATTTAGGACATTTCTTTTTTGGTTAAAAATGCTTGAATTCTAATCTGTTAGAATTCAAAAGTGGAGTTAAGCTAATTTTTGATGAAAGAAGGGATTCAAAATTTTGAAATTAAAAAGATGACAAAAGCATTTATTTTTGTGAAATATTAAAAAACTTAAAATAGATCTAAAAGTTTATATTCTTTTTACATATGCTAAAGAATTTGTAGAGCTTTATTTATGATATTTTATTTTCATTTATTATTTTTCTGCCATTGTATTTGTAAAGATAAAAAACCAATAAGAAAGGAATTTGATAAATAATATTGATTCTGGAATTTTTTCTAGCATTGAGATTTGAGAATAGATATACTAATAGATATACTAATAGATATACTGATAGATATACTAATAGATATACTAATAGATATACTAATAGATATACTAATGCATTCAATATTTTTTTACATTTTATGTTGTTCCAATGAGTGGATATTTTTTCTAATTCTATTTTTATTCTTTTTGTTCAGATTTAGATTTTTAGTTTTCCATTAGAAATATTCTTATTTTCAAAAAATTACTATTTATGATTTATAAATTAAGTTATACAATTTTCTCGTTAAAGCGATGAAATAAACCCTTATTCCGGAGTGGGTGCGATTATCATCTATTATATCATAGCGTCGAATACAAAAAGTTGATCGCTACAAAATGTCGAATAACAAAATGTCAAAATTAATAAACATCGAATACTACAAAACGTAGAATGACAAAAGCAAAGTTTTCCCTTCAATTACACTTCCTGAAACTTACATTTCCTAAAACTTACATTTCCTAAAACTTACATTTCCTAAAGCTTACATTTCCTAAAACTTACATTTCCTAAAACTTACATTTCCTAAAACTTTTATTTCCTAAAACTTACAATTCCTAAAACTTACATTTCCTAAAACTTACATTTCCAAGTTCTCTAAATTAATTTCACATTTATGTAGCTGCAGCGCTCGGCGCCCTAGCCTGTTCTACCTGGAACGCTTTGCCTAGAAATTGTCTTAACCTAGCCTAACCCAAAAATAAGATGAGAGACAGGATCATTATTTAACATTTAAGAAGCCGAACAGCTCTCGGCTCCCTAGCCCATCCATGACGTTGCGCTCGGCCCAAAAATTGTCTTAACCCGACCTAACCCAACATAATGTAACATTGTAACTGTCGATATTTTCTAGTATTCCTTATTCCTATTAACCCTATTCCAGATGGAGTACTTGAAAACCAGGATACGCGGGGGGGGGGGGGGATGAAATTCGATCCTTTTTTAATCAGCCTGGTTCCTACTGTTTATTTTAGGATTTGAATATTTATAAAAGAAATCTCAATATAATCCCGACCTCATTAATAAATCTAGTTTACTTGTAATACCTTTCTATGACTGATTCGTCCAGGGGTTCTCCAGGTTGCAGTTGAACATGGTCTCCAGGATATTTTGAAGGAAGAGCAACACTCCTCTAAAAAGTACAGCTTAAACTAATTAAAGACTTATGAACGCGAGCGTATACAGGAATATATAAAGGAAATGGGGCTGAATCTCCTCTGGAAATCATTGTTTACAGTCTAGTTTATACAAATGATGAATCAGTGTATAATTATAAACTGAGCTGAGATTTTAAAAACTTAAACCTGAGTAAATCCTGGCCTATTCAAAGACTCGAGCGTAGGTAAAACCCAAGTCAGGATTGGTTCTGATTAGACCAATGAGAGACTGCTTGGAAAGCTTTCTTTCTGTAGAAGACAGATCAGCTGTGACAAGGAGATGTAAATTTCGAACATTAGAACTTTACGAAGTCACGTAATTTTCATATGTGTTTATATTTTATACCTTTGATCAAATTCGACACTACAAATAATTCCCAAGATTGATTAAATAGACAAATCACTGAGTATAGTGCATGATAGAGGTTCAGTGTACTGTGTACAGCAGGCAAAACTGTACAATTTTAGAAATATTGGGGTTGTTTGTGTACATATTCGTGAAATCAACTTATTTTTACAGTGCTTCCTTTTTTACTTTCATATGTTTTGTTTACATTTTAGGGGAAAAATAGCTATCTCTCATGCAGATTATTTAGTATTGATGTGTACACTGGCAAAATGTCTACTAAATATATGATCTAAATATATGCCAAAATTTAAGTTTATGCTGACTGAATGAAACCCACTTCTTCTTGGAATCGAGGTTTCGTGGTATGATGAGTTGGCTGAGTGTCTATAAATATCTAGTCTGTGGACGTGGGTAATTATAATTAAATAATAAAAATATCATAAAATATAATAGTTTTTACGAGCCTTCAAGAGCAAAAAACCAAAACGGTTTGTTTTTACTAAACCCGAGGCCATCCAAAACCTGAGTCTTGACTTGAGCTTTACTTAGGTCTATGTTTACTCGAGTTTAAGCTTTAAAAAAGCCCTGGGTTTCCTTCTTATGTCTCGATAAACATGTAAATTTAGAGACGAATTAAAAACTTGATTTTCGATATTGTACGAATAACAAAGATATTTAGATAATTTATTTTTCTTCAGCAAATTGTAAACTTTAGAAAAATCTAAATAGATCTGCACTATACCATAACAAAACAGGTCATTAACATTTAATTGGAATTTCGGATGAAAAACTTTTAAGTAGTGCTCTTAGCATGATGGACAGTTAATTATTGTGTTTTTCCACAAAATACAGTTAAAAGTTTCGATGAATTCGTTTTTCTGAATTGATTTTACGAGTGGGTTTACGTAATTTTTATTTTTTATTAGAAAACAAGTGTGAACAGATTTAAAAAGTTTAAGTCCTTTAAAGTTTTCAACATTTTACATTTTAAGAATTTTTGCAATATTTTCATAATTTCTAAATTTTTTTCTTCTTTTTTTAAATTCCGTGAAATTTTTTCCCCATAAAAATTGAAACAGTAGAAAAAGAAAAATCTAAAATGCATATTGTAATTATCAAATCATAAAGTTTGTTTAAACGGGTCCACGTCTTTTAAAAAATATCTTAAAAATACCCAAAAAATCAATAAAATAGGTCCAGTATGTTATTAAGTCGATGATGAAAATGATTCAATTAGAAGTTGCACATTATTTGAAATGCCAATCATTGTGTTGCTTTTTAGATTTATCAATTAATGGACTTGCTTTATTTGTTTCTTTACTCCATTGTTGTTTCATGTATATCAGATCTGGATGAAAATTTACAGGTTGTCCCACGAAACAGGGCAGTACAGCAAGACGACTTGAAAGTCGTAGTTTTGACATTTAGTCGTCAACCTACTAGTCTTAAACATGTATGAAACAATAACCACAAAATTCTCCTTGTTCTAGCATTTGTGCTATCAATATTACCGGAGATATTAAGAAATAAGATTATATTAAGATATTAAGATTTCAATTTTATTAAATAAAACTAAACATGTCGAAATCTCCGGTGATATTTAAAGCACCGTAAAAGGCGACGTGCACAGTTTGGAAATGCCAAGACTAGTGGTATTGCATGCTATTTTACTCTAAAATTAGGTTTACATTTAAATGCCGCAAATTATATCAAAGATTAAAGGGAGTGTTCGCGAAAAATTTAAGGGGGGCTTAATGCGATAAAAAAGCGCTTTTGATCGCTACTAATCTTTCTTCAATCTGTTGCGTCTATATGAAGAAAATTGATAAAAAACGACTCACATCGAAGAACGCAGCGTCCATACAAATTCGGAAAGATGCAACATTCAACTCGGATCGTAAACAAATCAATTTAATTCCAAACAAATCATTCAGATATTACAAACAGTAGTCATCGATTATTTTTCGACGCATTCGTATATAGTTAATTTTTCATGAATATTTTTGATTTTTTTAAAACTAATTTTTACTGGCGCTGGATTTTTGAACATTCCGGGAAAATATAAAAATGTCATCTTCATTGTCAAAATTCTCGAAACAAGAATAAATGTTTTCAGATCATGAAAAATACAAAATATTATGAAAGATCAACTATTTATGAATGCGTCGAAAAATAATCGATGACTATTGTTTGTAATATCTGAATGATTTGTTTGGAATTAAATTGATTTGTTTACGATCCGAGTTGAATGGACACTACGTTCTTCGGTATTAGTCGTTTTTATTTTTAACAATTTTCTCCTTATAGACGCAACAGATAGAAGTAACATTAGTAGCGATCAAAAGCGCTTTTTTATCCCATTAAGCCTATACCTCCTTTAGTTTTTCGCGAACACTCCCTTTAAAGACGACCTTCAAGATTTTTAATTAAGCTCAATTATTTTCATCTAAAAATTTTACGCCTTAGAAAATACAAGTGAATAAAACGTTTCTGTTAAGAACGTGTGGGGGGGGGGGGATAAATAAGATAAAATTAATAATGTTCTTTTTTTAACAATCTCAAATGTTATAAAATTAAAAAAAGTTTTTAAAAAAATAGTTTTTAAAAACTAAACAATAGTCACTATTCTAATCCTGGAAAACATGTATAACACAAGGACTTTAACATAAACAATAAAACCAGGGGGGGGGGGCGGAATGTAGTGCCCTCAGGACAAAATTCAGTTTGACGAAGAAAGAAACAACTGTCATAAATCAAATTCACAAATGAATTTATAATTTTCCTATAATCATCTATAAAATCTCTTCTTTTCTGGATAATTCTGAGGCCCAATTTAAAGAATCTGAGCCGCGTCTCAAATTTTAAACGCGGCTCAATTGGAACCGGTTTTTGGCGGTTCAGCGACGCGGTTTAAATTCTTGAAATTCGGTCTCTGTACTTATCATATAGTGAGCAATCTCACCCCCCCCCCCTACTCCCCCTAGATTGAATCCAAAAGATGAAAAATGTTGCAATAATGCTATTTACAACAAATATACCTTAGTGTTATATGTTGAGGATGTTAATGTGAAGGGTTTAGAGAATGCCCCTGCTAGAGAATTCAACACCAGGCAGAAGACAACGAGAACAAGTGCTATACGCGACATTCTAGTCATTTTTAAACTTAGATTTGTTTAATAAAAGTTTCAAACATCAAATTTTTATCTGAAGGAACTGAACACTTGCTTCAGAGCCTCCATGCTTAACTTTATGCGATGAAATTCTTTTAGTTTTCAACAGAATTCTTAGTGTAAAATAACAAAGATCTACGAGATCAGGTTGTAAAGATATTATCATTGGAAAATTTGAATTTAAGGCTGTTGAATTTTAAATTATTTTCAAGATTAATAAATTAAAAAAGTATCTTGTTACAAATAATTGTTTCGGGAAATATGAAAACTTAAAAACATAAAGATATTTTATTTATATCTAAAAGTTTTATAAAGTCGTCGTCGTTTATATCAACAAGGTGACTGCCTATTTCAATTTTTGATTTCTACCAGGGTTTCAAAAAACTTAAACATTTTAACAAAGAGAAGTTGTCAATTAACAGCTCATTTGTGCTTGCTTGTAAACTACTAATTTCAAAAAATCTTGTAAAGTTGTAAATGATTAAATCATTATTAATAAAAAATCATATTTATTGTATTGATATAAATGCCGACCATGTTACCTGTTTCCAACTTGAACATGGACAAGTTCGTATTTGAGTAGAGGGCCCCCGGGTAGTATTTTCTAATTGATGGTTGGATGGTCTTCTCTGTATGGTATCTCACACTAGAGTGATCTCAACACACAGAGTTGACCGGAGTTGACTCACATGACCTTAGTTGCCCTCAGGGTAGGGTTAAGCGGGTATATGGGAGCGGGGGGGGCTGCAGACAGGGTTTATGAGGGCGGATGACCGCAAAACTCCTACCCATACTTCACATGGTATTATACTATATGGTGTAGGAGGAGTAGATGAGTATTATTAATCTGGGATAAGAGGTAGAATTTTAATGTGAAATAAAGATTATCTAGGATTTAAAACTTATTTTCGAGAAGAACAATAATTTAGGATTAAACAAAACTAACAAGGCTAAGAATATTTAACCGATTGTATTGTACTGAATTGTACAGTATGTTATATACTGTACAGTGTACAGGACGAGCCTTTAAAGGGACTGTAAGCGTAATGTTTAAGTGACCCTCCATGAAAGGTGAGAATGTCCGATTCACGACAGTATACGTAAAAACTTTGTCTGATCGAGTATGGAATAAACATAGATTTCTATAATATTGAAAACTGATTATGTTCAAATGTGGGTTCTAAACAAAAGTGACTTGTATAAACCATGAAAACGTATCAGAATTATCAGAATTAAACTTATAAAAACGACAATATCTTCCTCATTATGGATCAGATAAAGTTTTCATGATTGATAATGAGATAAAATTGATAAAAGATAAAATTGGATTGGTTCGGTTAGGAAAAATTCAAATTTTCTAATCCAGATTTGTGTATTTTTATAGTTCTACCTTCTATTCCACCCGTCCAGAAGCCGGCCCCCCCCAGGAAAATTGATGAAAACCTGGCCCAACAGATTCTTTTTCCCGCTACAGGGTTTATAGTATTTTGTGATATTTATGTTGTCAATATTAATTAAATCTTCATGTAACAAATATTTGATTTACTTTGATTTGATCTTACATAATTCATAGTTTAAAATATCAAAGGTCTATGACATTAGGTTGCAAAGATATAGGGATTTGTGGCAAGAACTCAGTTTAAAAGCATTTGATTTTCAAAAAATGAAAATCTATGGAAATTCTTGTAATAATTACTAATTATATCTAATCTAAACTTTAATTAAGGAAAATGAATAAAAAGTTTAGTTATTGGAAAATGGTAACCGTTGCAATGGATAGAGCGATGCAAGAGACATAGCTGAGAAAAGGAAGACGTTCTTAACAAAAAAATATTTTCATTACAGGGGACATTAGTTCCAAAACTAACACTTGGTCCATTTCCGTGTTGGAAACGGGCACAAAAATTGACAGACTGGTTTTTTTTAGGATCCAAGCCCATAACGAGAGTAAAAGTCGATAATAAAAACTATAACCAACATATTAATAAGGATGACGAGGACAACAATTCCTAATTTAAAACTATTTTCTGGAATCAAAATTATAAAATGAGTTCTTTTTATATTAAAACCATTGACTGACTTCAAGACAATGTTAGGTTTTCCATTTTCGAACATATCCAGAAGAAGAATCATTGTCGCGTTTTCGTGACAAAACCCACTTTCCCGTTTTTGAGTATAATCCACAATTCAGAACAAAACTAACTTTCATAACTTACAAAATAAATCACTAT